CTGTGGGCTTTTTTATGATATTGAGGTATGTTCCCCCTATCCCTACACTGTGGAGAGTTTTAATCAAGAAAGGATGCTGTACTTTGTCAAATGCTTTTTCTGCAACAATTGAGAGGATCATCTGGTTCTTGTCCTTTCTTTTATTAATGTGATGTATCATGTTGACTGATTTACGAATTTTCTTGCAGCCCATTTTCTTACACAACACACAAATACAAACTCAAAATGGATGAAAGACCTAAATGTGAGACAGGAATCCATCAAAATCCTAGAGGATAACACAAGCAGCAACCTCTGTGACCTTGGCCACAGCAACTTCTCGCTAGACATGTCTCCAAAGGCAAGGCAAACAAAGGCAAAAATGAACTATTGGGACTTCATCAAGATAAAATGCTTTTGCACAGCCAAGGAAACTGTTGATAAAATCAAAAGACAACTGACAGAATGGGAGAAGATATTTGCAAATGACATATCAGATAAAGGGCTAGTACCCAAAATCTATAAAGAACTTATCAAACTCAACACCCAAAGAACAAATAATCTAATCAAGAAATGGGCACACTGGGTGTTATACACAAACAATGAATCATGGAACACTACATCAAAAACTAATGATGTAATGTATGGTGATTAACATAACATAATAAAATTTTTTAAAAATGACACCATTTACCTAAAATGTGGGGATAAGAAGAGTAAATAATTTTTTTATTAAAAAAAATTGGCAGGAGACCTGAACAGACATTTCTGCAAAGAAGACATCCAAATGGCCAACAGACATGAAAAAGTGCTCAACATCGCTTGGCATCAGGGAAATACAAATCAAAACCTCAATGAGATACCACCTCACACCAGTTAGAATAGCTAAGACTAACAAGTCAGGAAACGACAGATGTTGGCGAGGATGTGGAGAAAGGGTAACCCTCTTACAGTTGGTAGGAATGCAAGCTGGTACAGCCACTCTGGAAAACAGTGTAGAGTTTCCTCAGGGAGTTGAAATAGAGCTACCCTATGACCCAGCAATTGCACTAGTGGGTGTTTACCCCAAAGATACAAATGTAGTGATCTGAAGGGGCACCTGCACCCCAACATTCATAGCAGCAATGTCCACAATAGCCAAACTGTGGAAAGAGCTAAGATGTCCATCAGCAGATGAATGGCATATACACACAATAGAATATTACTCAGCCATCAGAAAGGATGCTTACTATTTATATCAATGCGGACGGAACTGGAGGGTATTATGCTGAGCAAAATAAGTCAATCAGAGAAAGACAATTATCATATGGTTTCACTCATATGTGGAATATAAGAAACAGGGCAGAGGGCTGTAGGGGAAGGGAGGGAAAACTGAATGGGAAGTCATCAGAGAGGGAGAAAAGCCATGAGAAACTCTTAACTATAGGAAATAAATTGAGGGTTGCTGGAGGGGAGGTGGCAGGGGGATGGGGTAACTGGGTGATGGGCATTAAGGAGAGCATGAGATGTGATGAGCCCTGGGTGTTATATGAAACTAATAAATTATTGAACACTACATCTGAAACAAATGATATACTATAAGTTGGCTAATTGAATTTAATAAAAGAAAAAAGAATGCATGTCATGGTCCACCATCTGAGAGCCTTAATTTTTTAAATTTGGTGTAAATATAAATTCCAATGCTAAAAACCAAAATAAACAAATAAAGCCAAAAAAAAATACACCTCTAACTGGCTCAGCTTGAATAGGGTGCCTATTCCGGATCCAAACAAATTGTGGAGAGAGTCATCTTATTAAAAATGGTTGCTAGAAGCTTTGCCTTGACCCTGAGGGAGAACCAAGTCCTTATAAGCTGAACAAATAAACTCCAACATCCTCATTTATTCTCCCAGTTATCCTGGCTGAAAACCTCACAGTCATCTTTGGCTTATCCTTCTCTCTTATTTACTATATAGTTCTGTCACCAAGAACAATTTCATTTCTCTTTCAAAATTACTCTTTTTTCTATTCCATCTTTATTCCCATTGCCTTTATTATTTTCCAAAATGACTGATCCAAAAAAAGTTAGTTCACTATAATTAAATTTGCATTTCTTTAACTACTGGTGAAAATAAACATTTTTCATTTTTCCCTCATGATACAGACTATAGTATTTCTGCTTTATTGGTTTGTGTTGTTTGAATTATGTGTCTCCCCCTTCTCATTCATATGTTGAAGTACTTATCCCTTGTATTGTGACTGTATTTAGAGATAGAGCCTTTAAAGAAGAAATTAAGGTTAAATTAGGTTACAAGCATGGAGCTGAAATCAGTAGGACTGGTGCTCTTGCAAGAAGAGGTAGAAACCCCAGGGATGCTTGCCAACATAAGAAAGGCCATGGAGGGCGCCTGGGTGGCTCAGTCGGTTAAGCGACTGCCTTCGGCTCAGGTCATGATCCCAGGGTCCTGGGATCGAGTCCCGCATCGGGCTCCCCTGCTCTGCGGAGAGCCTGCTTCTCCCTCTCCCACTCCCCCTGCTTGTGTTCCCTCTCTCGCTGTCTCTCTCTGTCAAATAAATAAATAAAATCTTAAAAAAAAAAAAAAGAAAGGCCATGGAAAGACACAATGAGAAGGCTGTCTGCAAATTTAGGAGAGAGGCCTCAGGAAACACTAAAACTGTGGACATCTTGATCCTGGACTTTTAGCCTCTAGAACTGTGAGAAAATAAATTTGTATTAAGCCACCAATCTGTAGTATGTTGTTACAACAGGCCTAGCTGACTAATTCAGTTTGCTTGTGTTCATTATCCATTTTTCTTTTATTTTCTTCTGGTAAGAGTTCTCTAAACATTAAGGTTATTAGCCTTTTATACAAATATTTTTCCCAATTTATTTTGCCCCCCCCACCTTTCTGTTTTATTTTATATACTGAAATTTTTTTAGTGTAGTAAAATTCTTTAAACCTTTATGGTTGCTACATTTGAAATTGTGCTTAGAAAGTTCTTCCATTTTTTCTAGTCCACACATAATTAGCTAGATATAGACAGACGATAGATGATCGATAGATGTTTAATAGATATGATGGATGGATGGATGGATAGATCATAGAGAGATAAGTGATAGATAGGATGGATGGATAGATAATAGAGAGATGGATAACTGATAGGTAGGTAGGATGGATGGATAGATAATAGATTGATAGATAATAGGTAGGTAGATAGATATATATGATGGATGAATAGATGGATGGATGGATGGATAGATGACAGATAAAAGATGATAGATATATGGTAGATATTAAGTTCTTCCATTTTCCAGTATATTTATGTTCACCTTTATCTTCTTCCAATTTTTTTATCTCATCTGAATTTTACTTTCAATGTATGATGTAAGATACAGATCAATTCTTTTTTCATATAACTAATCAATTATCCCATACTATTTACTCATTTATTTTAATCTATTAAGTATATCTAAATACTTATATGCACTTAAACCCCTGTTGCTTTGTACTAATGACATTCATTCATTCAATAATTCATTTTGAAGATTATACTGTTCCACATTTATCATTAGGGAAAAAGAATTTTCCATCAAATTCAAGACACATTACTTTGGAGGTTTAAAATTATAAAAAATTTACGGAGGAAAAGTTCTTGAATTAAAAAATCACATAATCGGTTTTAGCTAACAATAAACATCAAAATAGATACAAAATTACTTTAACCCAGATATGAACCAAATGAAAGAGTGAAGGGGGTACCATCTGATTTACTTGAATTTTTTTATCTTACTAATCAAAAATAAGAGAAAAATGATAGAGAACGAACTTCATGAGGATTGTCAGTTGGCTTTTTCAGTCTCTTTTCAAGAGATTGGTTGTCTTTCTTTTTTTAATTAGTTATTTTAAAAAGGGTGGTTCTTTTTCCTCATGGGACAAAAGGGGTGCTATCTGTATAAAAATACCTTTTACATGCTTAGTGGTAAGAAAAAATACCCCCTAATGGGGATCAATGGGTTGAAGTTTGTGTTTTTCTCTCAAGAAAGGAGTACAGATAAGATCTAAGTTGTACTGGACCAACGATGTTCATGGTGAATGTACTTTGATACCTATTGAGTCTCTCCTGTCCATATTCAAAGCCAAAACCATTCTAGAGACTTTAGAGAAAATTCAAGAGCCGAAATTATGTCAGATCTATTACTAGTATTGGCCACCCATTATTTTTTCTCTGCTTCCCATATGGCAAGCACTTAAAAACCATACTGTAAATGTGAAATGTATTATCCATATACTTTAAAGACAATGAAACTGAAACTCGAGGAATTATAAACTCCCAAGATCAAACTGGCAGAAAGCAGTTCATTCCAACAGAAATCTCTCGCGTACCACGGCGCTGTGGAGCCTCAAAAAGCTGTGTCCAAGAGGAACCGTAAAGTCAAATTAGACAAGGCGGGGGCCAATCGCAGACCGGCCTCACAGAAATATAAAAGCAATCCCACTTTGCCCAGCCTGGCCTCTCTGGAGCTTCCTCGGAGGTATGCTAGTCAGGGGGTCAGACGCGGCGGTGGGCATGGGAAGGCGGAGAGATGAACCATGAGAGACTGTGGACTCTGAGAAACAAACAGGGTTTTAGAGGGGAGGGGGGAGGGGGGATTGTTAGCCCGGTGATGGGTATTAAGGAGGGCACGTACTGCATGGAGCACTGGGTGTTATACGAAAACAACAGATCGTGGATCACCACATCAAAAACAAATGATGTATGGTGACTAACATAACATAATAACATTTAAAAAATAAAATAAAATAAAAGGGAGGCCGCAGAGAAAACTCACTAAGATTTTGAAAGCCCTAAGGTAAACACGCTAAAAACTATAATGACGTGCCCAGCCAACACCTTGTAAGGGAGGTACGGCAAAATCCTACTCACAGCTCGCACCCTCAAGAAACTCGGGCTTCCAAGCCCATCCCGGAATCCTTTGCGCCGCACACAAGAAAGCCCTGGAGCGCTTTGGCTCCTTCGGCCACCGTAGGCTCTGCGTTGCTATGGAAACACAGCCATCATCACTATGTCGTTACAACAGGCCCCTCAGTCTCGGGTGTTCGTGGAACTGGTTCCCTGGGCTGACCGGGGCCGAGAGAACAATGTGGTCTCGGGCGGTGAGTCGCTGCCCGGCCTCCGCCGCCCCCTCGCCTCAGCACAGACCCAAACTGCCACCCGCGAGGTGCACGTAAGCGGCACCGCGGACGTGTCCGCGAGCCCGGACCGGGCGCAGGTGGCGGTGTTAGTGAGCAGCACCAAGGAGGCGGCGGCTGAGGCCAAGAAGAGCGTTTGCCGCCGCCTGGACTACATCACGCAGAGCCTCCGGCAGCAGGGCCTGCAGGTGAGAGCTTCGTAGGGGAGGCCTGCGGCCGGACCGCAAAAACCGGAGGCAGAGGTTCCGGCCCCAACGGTCCCTGGAGCCAGGTGGAGGTGGGGAGGCTCTTGAGTGTCTGGGGCACATTCGTCTCATTGGTATCACAGAGCGCCAGAACCTGGCGGAGTGAAACTTCGGCCGACAAAGTCGTCATTGGCCGCAGTGACTTACAAAGTACAAGAATGCGAATCGAGTAGGTTTTTATTTGGCCATATTTGCCGCAATAATTTTGTTTTTAACCTCGATATGATGAACTGTTAGACGTGACACATTAGATGTCAGTCAGTCTTTGTTTTGATTCTGCACCATACAATTAACAAGTGAAAACTCGGCCTGCTCTCTCCCATGTTAAGCTTCGCATGGAGTGGTTTTTCAGTATTTTTTGCAAACAGTAACGTGGGGAGGAAAATTGCATCCATTATCGTTTAATAAAGACATAAAGAATTTCTGCAATTACTTGAGTCTTAACTTTCAAAACAATTAAGCCAGTATATTGTAGATGCCACATAAATGAAATACCTCTACTTACCAGAGATGTCCATGAAACAGACACTAAATAAATCTTACCTCAACTCTACTTCTAAGAAGAAAAAAATGAACCAGCTTTATTTAATCTCAACAACAGCTCTGTTAGGCAGATTTTAATATCCCCATTTAGATTTAAAGAGGTTAAATAATGCTCTAAACTTCAGCTAGGATGGCATTTGAACTCTTGTCTTCCTGAAACTAAAATCTACATTTGTTCCAACCATAGTTGGCTCCAGATAATTAGAATGCAAGAAAATTAGAAGCCACAGAATGGGTCAACTATCTCAATTCCCTCATTTTACACAGTAGGACTCAAAAGGCCAGAGTTGTGACTTATCCAGGGTAACACCAAGTTCATAAAAGTGCTTCCTGTCTATTGTTAGACATGGCACGGGCCCAAAAAGCAAGTCTTTATTTTAAGGAAAAAATATATTTGTACTGCATTTATAAACATAAGAGTTATTTAGAAAGTCATTTGGAAAAGATGTCTCAATGACTTTACAGTTTAAAAGAATTCAAATGCTAATTATAAACAATGTGAATTAAATGGTTTAATATGTAGAAAAAATTTCCTCAAAACTGTTGCTAGTGCTGCAGTCCTGTTCAGATAATATAACTAATTCTTAAGTTATTTACATAAAATGTATACCAAGCTCACATGGTTGTAACTTCTAATATGTAAAACAATAAATTACTACATCTAACTTAATAATTACATTAGGGTTCAGTGTTCAAGGCAAGACATAGAAGGTCAGTAATCTCCCAATTATCTCTGCTAATGGAAGAAAACAGTCATGTAGGTAATCTGTTCAGTAGATAATTCAAAAAATCATTTATGTTACTTTTGAGGATGAATTATGGGTTTTCACAGTCTTTATTCATTTTAGACTTTGGCTTTGGGTTTTTAAACATCCCTCCCCTACTTAAAGGTCTCCTCATATTCCAGATTCCTTTGCTTAATAGGTGGAGCCTAATTCTCTGTCATTTTCTGTCATCTCTCTTCCCTCCTTGACTAGCTGACTCCCATTTTTTCCTTTAACAACCAGCCAAGCTCACCTCCTTGACATTCCTTTTCTAACATAACACTAGTCTCTTCCATACCACACTCCATTCCCCACTTGTAATAAAACTTACTGATGAATCACAGACCTGTACCTCTGAAACAAGTAATACATTATATGTTTAAAAAAAAAAAAAAAGATAGTAGGAAGGGAAAAATGAAGAGGGGGAAATTGGAGGGGGAGACGAACCATGAGAGACTGTGGACTCTGGGAAAGAAACTGAGGGTTCTGGAGGGGAGGGGGGTGGGGGGATGGGTTAGCCTGGTGATGGGTATTAAAGAGGGCACGTACTGAATGGAGCACTGGATGTTATACGCAAACAATGAATCATGGAACACTACATCAAGAAAAAAAGACAACTTACCATTCTGTATTTTAATTGTTGCTTTACTGTTGTCTCCTTCGTATTCTAAACCTCTCCAGAGCTCGGACCATTTTCTATCACTTGCTTTGCATTCATGGGTTATGCTTTATACACATCACATAATATATACTCAAAAAATGGTTTTTGAATGACTAAAAGAAAAAAATGAAGCACTAAATAAACTATTCAACTACATGATAGATCAACTATAGGTTATTTTATGATCATATATAGTTTCACATGTAAAGGCATACCCTCATTTTTAGTGTTGTTTTCATAGAAAAATGTTTTAAGTTCTAAGCAGTATTTACTTATTCAACCATCAAACATTTTTAAAGCATTTCCTATCACTGTTCATTTTAAAATAGCATTTAATGTGATAGTAATTATTTTGCTTTCTGTTTTATATGTTCCCTCCATAGGCTGTAAGCTTCAGTATTTGCCTACTCATAATTGTATTTTTTTTTTCAATAAATGTGTAATAGGTGCATGTTGCTGGGCACCAAAAATAGAGAATGAGTAAAACTTAGGCACTGTGCTGAAGGAGTCTTATGATAGGAATAGACTAATATATAGAAGTGTTGTGAAGAAACATGTACATGAGACAATACAGTAGAATAAAAGGAGATAATGTTCATTTTACTTGAGAAATTCCAGAAAGATTTCATAATGGAAGTGAGTGACTCTTTGTATCAGATCTTGAACAGTGACTGAAAGTAAAGCATTCCAGTTCCACGCTAGAATGCAGCAAGTATGTGTATTCAGAACACTATATGCAGTTCATTTTGGCTAGGACACAGGAGTACCTGGAGGAAATGGAGGAGAATCAAGATAAGACTGAAGAAGAAAGCTATAGACAGAACATGGAGGAAGGCCTTGTTTGCTATATTGAGGAGTTTGGATATTATTGGTGATTAAAAAAAAACACAACCTGCTTAATTGCTAGACCTTTTACAAATGTTGTCTCATTTGACATGAAACTGGCATTTCAGTTGCTGTTTAGAGATGAGAACTCTCAGGATCAGAGTGATTATTGGCAGGTAGGTTGCCCAAGGTCAAACAGCTAGGAGGTGGCAGAGTTTAGACTCCAGTCAAGAATTTTGACCTCAAAGCTCTTGCTCTTACCCACTGTAGTATGTTGCTGCTTTATTGTCTTGGCAGTGGGTGATTGAGTTTTAAGTAGGGGATGTAGCAGATGCTATTGATACCCCACACTTGTATCCCTTGGCACTTCACATTTGTGTGCATACAGGCCCAACTTCCATATGCCAACACTTGTGAATTCCTTGCCAGTTTTTCCCTGATGCAGTTTTTCCTGGCTCCACCTCCAAGTGGGCCAGCCAGTAGTGCCAGAGAATTAACAATCCTTCTCAAGCTCTAGCAGCCTTCACCTAACAACTGAGGGGAGTGAGTGGAAAGAGACTTTACCCCTTGGGCAGGATAACTGAGGCATGTGTTCTGCCCTGGTTCCCAGAGTTTCTCTGCAGGAATAAGTTCCAGTGGCCCATAGTGGTGACTGCCTGACAATGCATACTTTAATGGCTTGCCTTCCTTTCGTTTCACTTCCCACTCTCCTATAGTATTTCTTGGGATCATCTTAAAAATTAAGTGTACTCACATCCTTGTATCAGGGTCCATTTCTGGGTGCATTCAAATTAAGATAGGGAGTAGTAGGAATAGATTGAACGCATCATATGAGTTGGCTTCAGTTTTTCATTATTAAAAATGGTGACAAAATGAATATCCTTGTTGCTAGATATTTATACATGTTTTTAATTATGTTTTTTAGACATTAATTCCTGGCTTATACATACTTTTAAGGCTTATGAAAAATTACAGTCTAGGATGAAAAGTTTACATCTTCACTATAAATATATCCTTGGCATAGTGGGTATTATTTTCTTTTTTAACTTTGCCAATTCAGTAGTCAAAAAAATGTTACTGTCATTTCCTGTGTTTTACTCTTTTTTACACTGAGGTTAAGCTTTTTTTCATGTAAATTGCCAATTTGTAATACTTTGTCCATTTTTTCTATTGTCTTCATTAATTTATGGGAAGTTTTAAAAAATTAGTTTCAGCTGTGCAGTATAATGATTCAACAATTCTGTACATTTCTCAGTGCTCATCAAGATAATTATACTCTTAATCCATTTTATCGCTCTATCTATATCCTATTCCGCACTTCCCTCTGGCATCCACTGGTTTGTTCTCTGTAGTTGAGTCTTTTTTGTCTCTTTTGTTTGTTTGTTCATTTGGTTTTTAAATTCTGCATATGAGTATAATCATATGGTATTTGTCTTTTTTCTGGCTAACTTATCTTACTTAGCATTATATACTCTAGAATCCATATTGTTGCAAATGGCAAGATTTCTTTTTTTATGGCTAATAGTCCAGTGTGCGTGTGTGTGTGTGTGTGTGTGTGTGTGTTTGTCTGAATGTCTGTCTCACATCTTCTTTATCCATTCACCTAAAGATGGACACTTAGGTTGCTTCCATATCTTGACTATCATAAATAATGCTGCAATAAACATAGGGATGCAGGTATCTTTTTGAATTTGTGTTTTTGTCTTCTTTGGGTAAATACCCAGTAGTGGAATTACTGATCATATGGTAATTCTATTTTTAACTTTTTGAGGAACCTCCATACTGTTTTCCACAGTGGCTGCACCAGTCTGCATTCCCACCAGTCATGTACAAGGGTTCCTTTTCTCCACATCCTCACCAACATTTGTTATTTCTTGTGTGTTTTAGCCATTCTGACAGATATAAGGTGATATCTCATTATCATTATGGTTTTAATTTGCATTTCCCTGAGATGAGTGATGTTGAGCATCTTTTCATGTGTCTGTTGGCCATCTGTATGCCTTCTTTGGAAGAATGTCTATTCAGGTCCTCTGCGCATTTTTTAATTAGATTATTTGTTTTTGTGGTGCTGAGTTGTATAAATTCTTTATCTGTTTTGGATATTAACCCCGTATGGGATATATCATTTGCAGATTATCTTCTCTCATTCAGTAGATCGCCTTTTTGTTTTGTTGATGGTTTCCTTCCCTGTGTAAAAGCTTTTGATTTTGGTGTAGTCCCAATAGTTTAATTTTGCTTTTGTTTCCCTTGCCAGAGGAGACATATCTAGACAAATGTTTCTATGGCTAATGTCAAAGAAATTATTGCCCATGTTTTCTTCTAGGAATTTTATGGTTTCAGGTCCCACATTTAGATCTTTAATCCATTTTGAGTTTATTTTTATGTATGATGTGAGAAAGTGGTCCAGTTTCATTCTTTTGCATGTAGCCGTCCAGTTTTCCCAGCACCATTTGTTGAAGAGACTGCCTTTTTCCCATTGTATATTCTTGCATCCTTTGTTGTAGATTGTTATAGGCCATGTAAGTGTGGGATTATTTCTGAGCTCTCTCTTCCATTCCATTGATCTATGTGTCTATTTCTGTGCCAATATTTACTGTTCTGATTACTGCTGCTTTGTAGTATATCTTGATATCTGGGATTGTGATACCTCTAGCTTTGTCCTTCTTTTTCAAGATTAATTTAAGGGAATGTTAAAATTAAGATTATCAATAATTGTCTTTCATGTATTACAAAAATTTTCCCAATTTCATATTTGCCATATAACTTTTTACAGTATTGAACATTCAAAATTTTTACGTTTTATTTAGTCAAATTCATTAATCTTTTCTGTATGTTTCTTGCCTTTGGTGTAACACTTATTGGGTCCTTCGGAAGCTTAAGGTTATATAACCATTAACTAATATTTCCTGGAACCTTTAGGGACCCTTTATACTACATTAAATATTTGCTGTGTTGGAATTTATTTTGGTGTAAGGAAAAGGGTTTTATTTTCTCCTAAATGGTCAGTTGCTATACTGAAATTATGTACTGAAGTCTTATCCCTTACTGCTTGTGCAAGAACCTAATTGGAATTGCCTTTAAAAGTAAAAAGTATTAAAAAATTTTTAAATAAATAAAAAAAATAAAAGTATTGCTTTACATAACCTTATGGGTAATATGCGCTTGAGGTATGCAATGGTCAAGGCTCTATTTCTTTTTTTTTTTTTTTAGATTTTATTTATTTGACAGAGAGAGACACAGTGAGAGAGGGAACACAAGCAGGGGGAGTGAGAGAGGGAGAAGCAGTCTTCCCGTGGAGCAGGGAGCCCGACATGGGGCTCGATCCCAGGACCCTGGGATCATGACCTGAGTGGAAGGCAGAGGCTTAACGACTAAGCCACCCAGGTGCCCCAAGCCTCTATATTTGATGCAGTTCTCCTGGCTTTCCTGCAGCTTCCTGCATGATACCAAAATGGCTGCAACATTCCCAAGCCTTACACCACATACTGTACCATAATAAGAAAGACAATAGTTCTTATTTCCTGCAACCACATAAAAAATATTCCTGTAGTTCACTGTAAATGGACAACCTAAATTTGTCTTTGTGGCCAGAGAAATGGCATATACTAATTAGCTTAGATTTGGATTTCTCCCCATTTTTAACCTAATCTTGTAGCAAGTTAGGTGTGACCTATTTTAGACCTATTAGGATTTACCTTGAGCCACATAGTTGCTACTTAGAGAAAGTAGGGGCAGAATGTATGACATGAGGATTCCATATTGCTTCTTGTGCCTACTGGTTTGAAATGTTACTGGTATTTTATTTGCAATCTTCAGACATTCTTGGATCAGTTTCAGAACACTAGTTCTTTTCATCCTGGTTATGTTCCTACATTAGTACCACATTATTAAATTATTATATCTTTGTAAAACTTATGTAGGGCAACTTCTCCCCTCATTACTTTTCTACTAAAAAGATTTCCTGTCTGCAAGGGACATGTTAAATGACACCATGGGGATACGATCAGAAAATCCAGACAGTATAAAACTCTACAGTCCAAATAAAACTTCTGTTCATATTTTGCATTGTTTATATATTAATTTCAGGAGAATTGCTGATTTTATAATATTGTATCGGGTCCATTTATTCAAGCATTTTTTTATATAAAGTTTTATGGTTTTCTTCATGTTTATCCTTTTTAAGTTTACTCCTGCCATAACATGGTTTTTTATACCTATTGAGAATGTTACCTTGCTGCCTTCATAGACTTAAGTACTTACTCTTATACTGACCATTTTGTGTTTTAAAATCTGCCCTTTATAAAATTTGGATATAAAATAGCTTCCCAGGAGCTTACTTGGGAAAACTTAATGGACTAGGCTGGAATATTTTAGTATTTTTTAGTTTGTACCCAATATGGCAGGATTTCCCAATCTCAGCATTATTTTTAACATCCTGGACTAGATAATTCTTTGTTATGGGAAGCTGTCCTATACATTGTAGAATATTTAGCTATATTCCTGGCCCTACCCATCAGGTAACCAACTTGTCCTGATTTACTGGGGACTGTCCCAGTTTTGCAGCTGACAGTCCCATGTCTTAGGAACCTCCTCAGTTCCTGGCAAACAGGAGCATTTATTCACACTGTCTACTTACTGCATCACGGTAGCGTACTCCCCTAGCCCATTTTAACAATCGAGTATGTCTCCAGACATTAACAGATTTCCCCGGGACGCAAAATTGCCTTCTGCTTAGGAGCCATTACCTTATAGATAAGCAGAAAATCTCATATTTTGTGTGGGAGGCCACCAGCCAAACATTACCAGGAATATATCTACGGTGAAACAAATTTAGGTTTATTTAGCATGATCAGCAGACACTCCTGTAACATTCAAATGCTTTACGTACAAATAATTCCTCATATGTATACCTCTCTAAGTTCATACTTTTTGTACAAGCTAATGTAAAAATTACTACAAATGGAGTGACAGTTATGAAATTTTCAGCAAATATTTGTAGACTTTAAAGTTATTTTATGTAACTTTTAAGAAAGTTTTAAACATCAGGCAAACCAGTTCTTTCTGCATACTCTGTCATTCTGATTTTAATAAGTTCAGGTTTCTACTTTATGTTTTAGAGTCATTGCATTTAGTAGCCAAACCTTTTAGTAATCATACTCTTGTACTTTCTGCTTCAGGCAGAAAATGTAACTGTGACAAAGGACTTTAGAAGAGTGGAAAATGCTTATCATATGGAAGCAGAGGTATGTACTTATCATAACAAATAATTGGAAACAGCATGACTTTGTGGGGACAATTTGCATTTATTTTTATTCTTGAAATGTACAGGAGAAATGCTTCTCATGGTATTGATAAAAATTATTTTTCTCAAAATCATTTTTGGTGTTAATATCTGTGGGGTTTTTTTGTTTACTTATTTTTTTTTTTTTAGTAATCTCTACACCCAACATGGGGCTCGAACTCACGACCTCAAGATCAAGAGTCGCATACTCTTCCCACTGAGCCAGCCAGGTGCCCCTGTGTGAGCTTTTAAAAAAATTTTAATGAGATTTATTTGAGAGAAATCATTTGAAATGGAATAAATATAGCAAGAAGGAAGTGGCAGTTAATTGCCACCTAATAAAATTTTAGTAAAGTTAACACTTTGTGAGCAGGAAACACTGTAGGAGAGAAATTTCTTCTCAGATAAAAAGCAAATTAATAAAGTCCTAACATAAGGATTGAAACATTTTTCAACTCTTTTCTTTTGTAATGCAATTTTACTGTGTTGTGGTAAGTTAAATTTTATTTAAATATAAAAACCTCTTGTGGGTGCCCATGTGGCTTAGTTGGTTAAGCATTGGACTCTTGATTTTGGCTCAGGTCATGAACTTAGAGTCACTAGGGAGTCTAAGATTCTCTCTCTCCCTCTGCCCCCCTCCCCACATGTGCATGCACACACTCTCTCTCTAAAAGGAATAAATAAATCTTTAAAAATAAAAAACACTTGGGGCACCTGGCTAGCTTAGTCGGTAGAGCTTTCAACTCTTGATCTTGGGGTTGTGAGTTCAAGCCCCATGTTGGGTGTAGAGATTACTTAAAAATAAAATCTTTTTTTTTTTTTAAGATTTTATTTATTTATTTGAGAGAGAGAGAATGA